AGGCGTCAAAGTAAAATGTGTACGGCCAATTTTTAATCCTAAAGGTACTCTTACCAAAATTCTAATATCAACTATGTTGTGCTTCTAAGGCCCCCATCACACCCCTTCACCCCATTGAAAGAAAAAGGCAAAGAGAAAAAGAAAAAATACAAAAAGTTTAGGTATCTTCTTAAAAGTTGAACAAATGGTTCTATTAGAAGAACTCTATTATGCATGTATGTATTTCACTGCGGATGGTGTTGTCAAGGACTTGCTTGTGGCGCGCTTAAGCCTTCTGGGTGCAAAGTAGGTTGTGCACTTTGCCCCGCTAAAGCGGCACTTCAGTGTAGTATGTATGTTTATCATTCCCTTCTATTGCGCCTTTCTCCATTAAAGTCCACACTTGTTAGCGCTTTGAGTTAAAAGTCCCAATAGACTTATATGCTTATTTCTTTTCTTTTGTTTTTGCCTTTGATAACACTGACTGCAGAAGGATATAGTTATGTCGGTTTTTCAGTTTTTTGTATTATCCATCTTATATTGGCTAGATAACTGGCATAAATATTTCTCCATCACATGTTTCTTTATCAACCTTATATTTTGTCTTACCTTTCTTTCAATTAATTTATCAGATTCCTCTTTGTGTAGGATTTATTGTTGGATCAGTTGATGGGCGAGTTCTTCTGGAGTACATCTGCAGATCCAGCTCAGATGAGGGGTCAGTAAAAGTTTGTAGTACTTTCTTTCTGTTTGAAAAGATGAAAGTTTGTAGTACATCAGACTACTGTATGGTGATTCCGGCCAGATTAATCAAACCATGCTAGGCACATTTTAGGTTCAATTGTAAGCAGTCGAGTTCATATATCAGGTCAGCATTAGCTGATATTTTTCAAAAGATGGTGTCTTCCTGGCTTTCAAATGCATTGGTGTAAAAAAAACTAAAAGATCAAAGAGCTACTTGCGTTCACCTGACATCACAAATTCGCTTCTGGTTATTTTGCTTATATGTTTGTAAGAAGTAAGAACACCAGTCCAACTTTCCAAATCGCTTTTAACATTTGGATGGAATATAGGATCTATCAGATGTCTCAACTAGCAAACACAACTAGACAAGGCACTAGCTAGAAGAGGCTGTTGTAATCCATTTTAATCTGTCAATGCATTTCCAAAAAAAGTACCAAAGCTTTATTTTCATCAGATGCCACGGAAACATTTTTTCCTGTATTTATGAACTGGTACCTCTTGAACCTGCAAGGAACTTGCTCTGTGCTCCATCTCCTTGTTGTAGCATCCACTTTCCGAAGTTGCAAATGCTGGCAAATTCTTGAGATTAGCATTTCCATTAAGCATGTAAAGACAACTGATTAATTCCTCATAGCCTAGGATGACCTCATCCAAAGTGCAATTCACTATGTTAGAAGAGATGTAAGCAAAAGGTTGATGCTGCTGCTTACAAAGAGCACATAATTATTTGTAAGTTTTTCAAGTTTGAAGGTCCATTTTTAGTCTTCCAAGTTCCAGCATGGAAAATAGTTTAGCATTCTAGAAAAGTGAGGTGGTACGGGAAGGATGATGATTCAGAACATTAGTAGAGAAAGGGAAGCCAGGTGCACAAAGTATTCCGCGTTCACGCAGGATCCGGGGAAGGGCCGTACCCCAAGAGGGTGTGATATATGCAGCCTAACTAGACGCAAGCATCAGTGGAATCATCCATGGCTAGTAGAGAACTTAGTAGAAATGGAAAAGTTTGAGAGGGCCTTTTTTAGGTCCTTGTATCAGTCAATAGTAGGCCAACAAAAGATGAATTGGCTTCTTATCTTTATGACAAAAGAATCAGTTGCTGAAAATCAAATCTGATTGAAATAAAAAGAAAGGTCGACAACTAATCAAGGCAAATTATAAAATCTAGAAAAAGCAGTAGAAATATTCCTCCCAGGGCCATGTATCTTTTGGTTTAAACTTTCATATTTCCTTTTTTCTTTTACACTCATATCCATTTTGGTATATGGGTAGGGTTGCACGCTGGTGAAACTATAACTTTTCTTTTCTTTAAGTGACAAATTCAGACATTTTATAGAGGAATGAAAAAGTTTCAGCTACTGAAATTTCTCAGTATATGGTTACTATGAAGTCTCATTCTCAAAACTCTCCTTTTGTATGGATCTCTTAACTCATTTGTCATATTTTGCAGATACGCATTTAGATGTCATCCAAAGAGTAAAGATGGGAGACGTCATCTTGTAACAGTTAATGACATTGCGTTTAACCCATCGTATGTGGTTTTCCAGTTTTAGCCTTCTGTTATTGCTAACTGATAGTAGTTATACTCACAGTACCTTTTCCTTTCCCAGCATTATTGGTTCATTTGTCACTGGTGACAATGACGGCTATGTCACCTTGTGGGATGCTCGGGGAAGGAAACGGATGTTTGAGGTACTTTTGTTCATTTGTCAATCAGATATTGCATAAGTTTCCCAAAAAGTGATAAAATAGTTGTAATTGCTCGAGGAAGGAAGCTGACATTTGAGGTACCCTTGTTCATTTGACAATCAGATATTGCGTAAGTTCCGCAAAAAGTGATAATATAGTTATAATTGCAGTTTTGATATCACTAGGTTGAAGTCATGATGTTGAAAGAAATCTTGTGCTTGTGGAGATCAGTGAACAAATCTCTTGTATTACATGAGTTACATGCCGAAGTAAAATTTGCCTGTTTCCCAATCAAAATGAAAAAGTAGAATGTCCATTGCTGTCACACATACCCGTTCTGCTTTAGCTACTGCTTCTGTTTATTTCCCTTTGGAGATCTCAGTCTATTTGTTCGGTCTTTTTTTTAGATGCCAAGGTATCCCAAGAGTGTCGTCTCTCTATCATATAGCCATGATGGATTGCTTTTGGCAGTTGCATCCAGTTATGCATACCAAGAAGCTAATGAAATGTAAGAAAAACTTCTTTAATCATTTTCTTATAGTGGGTGGGGTGTGTTCTTGGTCACTCTCCCTTATATAACCCCTTTAAAATATTCAATTGCCTTTGACAGAGAAGAGCCACCTCAGATATTTATACATGAAATGGGGAACTGTTATCTCACGTCGCCTTCTTCTGGAGCTTCAAAGTACAAATGACTGCAAATACACGTCTCAGATTCTGGTTGTTGCTTCTGTTTCCTTTATATAAGTCATCTTCTTTACTTGATGCTGTAGTTATCACTTATCAATCCTTAATAATATATGGTTGCTGATAATTTGTTTTTGCTTTCCCTCATTATTTTCTAGTTCAATACAACTCTTATACAGTAAATTTTGCTGGTACCTGTGCACGAGTTGGCTTTTCCTGGCTCACGTTCCCCGGTGGCTATTTTGACTCTTACCAAGATTAGAAGGAAAGGGCTCAGCAGAAAATTGGATACCAGAATTTAGAATTTTTACTCTCTAAAGTCCTGTCCTGATGTATTAATGTCTACTAACAAAGTGTTTGCTCCAAGTGGAATATATTTTGGAGTTGTATTTTTCATCAACCGTGAAAGAATGTGTTTCTTGAAAAACCATATGTTATGTTCTTTTGCTTGGTTGAGAACTTGAGGTTATAGCAAACTTTTTCTTCTTTGAGGTTATGCATCCAAAGGTAAAAAACTTTGAACAACATACCTAGTAATATCCCACACCGTAGGGATAAAAAACTTTGAAGAGATTGAAATATTTCTTAAATTAAAGGCCTTCTTATTCTTTTGATTTTTTCTTCCAAATTGTCACTCTTGTGATTTGATTAAATTTTTAAAGTTATATCGCCTGCGAAATATTAGCTATATCTAGGACGGACTTTAGGCAAATGCGACATTTCCTAGCTTTATCGTTTTTAGTTTTTAATTTTCTTCCTTGAGTTCTTCCACTTGAGGTCAATAAAGTCAAGTAACATTATTGACATTTATATATGAACTATACTACAACAATAACTATGACTAAGTCCTAAACAAGTTGGGAATCCTTATTAATCATGTTTTTCCATTTAAGCACAACTCATGTTTCTCCATTTATATGTTGACTATACTGGTATAAAAGAGAGCAAAAGAAAAATTAAGCACTTCAAACTGACTGGAAACTGAAAGGCTTTTTGATGTACAAATTATCCTACTGTCCTACCCATAACATTACTGCAAATTTCAACGTCAAGTCGAACAAGAAAAAACCTGGAAACTGAAGGTCTCTTTGCAAATTAAGCAACCTGTATTGAGTATTCTTCTGAAACATGTAAGATGTCGTTATAAATTCAATATGGTGACCTCATATTCTTTAAATATTGCCTAGGAAGGAACACACAATTCATATTTAATCAGGGCAATGATTGTAAATTTGTAACGATATTTTGTTTTCGTAGACATATTCAACAGCTAATGGATTCTCAATAAGCTAATTGTTGTTCAAAGCACAAGATGACTAAACCTCTTCCCAATGTCTTGTAATTCCAACTATCAAGATGAATATTTTAGTAGCACATTCGTAATGGAAGTGAACTAGTTTGAGACTTTGAGTTGCTTCTAGCAAATTTTCGCAGTCTGCAAAATTTACTTGGACTATAAAGCTTCAGCCAAGAACCGCATTGTAGGAAGGGCCAACCATAGCAACATAAATACTAATAATACTAAGAAAGGTTGCCCCATCGCTTTGGTCTAGTAGTAAGAGCACAACACGTGATAGATGTATTAGGCGCACGTCACGAGTTTGAACTTGATATAAGCAAAAGTCTAGTATGTAAGTGGAGATTGGTAGAGGGGTGGACCCATTATTTAATTATTTGTTTTTTCCTTTTTTAAAAAAAGAATACTACTAATAAGAAAGCTCAACATTTATTGTCAATCATTGTAGGTGTTGACCTGAGTTGTAATCTTTGTTTTCCATTATTCTCTATTTGTTCTAAGCTAAAGATTTTACACTAACAAAAAAATCTCAGGCTGGCATCATAAAATAAGGATAACTACCCTGTCTAGTGACATTGATTCCTCCTACCTTATCTAGTGACACTTCAACTGTTAATTCCTACTACCTTTGTCTACGGACACTCTAACTGTTGATTCCAACTATTGATTCCTCCTAACTTGTCTATTCACATTCCAACTATAAGGTTTAAGTTATATACACCATTAGTTTAAGAAATTTTATACCATCACGTCACATTTATTTGCTGTAGCAGGCAACCTGTCTTATTTTCAAGATTATAAATCCTACATTTTAAGGAGACTTTTCAATAGATATCCTTTCGGCGACATGATAGCATGAAACTCCCAATTAGTTGAGGCAGAAAGCACCATGCATCTTATAAAATTACACGATCTTTTCTTCTTTTTGACTCAAATCTTTTTCTGATTGCTTGTGCTATAGTTTTTGTTCCCTATAGTAGAAGATGAGAAATTGGGGTAGGGGCTTTCTTGGGTTTCTTTATCTTGCTTCTTTTTTGAGAATTGAAGCCTTAGAATTTCATAAAACTGATCAACACAGTGAAAGAATTTCAGGAAGTGCTGGTGATGTTTTGGAAGATAATCCAATAGGAAGGTTAAAAGTTTATGTATATGAACTTCCCAGCAAATACAACAAGAAAACTGTTCAGAGAGATTCACGATGCCTCAATCACATGTTTGCAGCCGAGATATATATGCATCGTTTCCTGTTATCCAGTCCTGTTCGAACCCTTAATCCAGAAGACGCAGATTGGTTTTATACTCCAGTTTACACAACTTGTGAGTACTTGACACCACATGGTCATCCTTTACCATTCAAGTCACCTCTTATGATGAGAAGTGCGATTCAGCTTATTGCTTCTACCTGGCCATACTGGAACAGGACACAAGGCGTGGATCACTTCTTTATTGTACCACATGATTTTGGTGCATGTTTTCACTTTCAAGAAGAGAAAGCTATTGAAAGAGGAATTCTTCCGTTGCTGCAGCATGCTACCTTGGTTCAAACATTCGGGCAACGAAATCATGTTTGTTTGAAAAATGGCTCAATAACTATTCCTCCATATGCTCCTCCACAGAAAATTCAATCCCACTTGATCCCTCCTGATACACCAAGATCCGTCTTTGTTTATTTCCGAGGCTTGTTTTATGACGATAGAAATGATCCTGAAGGCGGGTACTATGCAAGAGGTTCTCGAGCAGCAGTTTGGGAGAACTTTAAGAACAATCCTCTCTTTGATATTTCTACAGATCATCCAACTACATACTACGAAGATATGCAACGAGCTATCTTCTGCTTGTGCCCTCTCGGATGGGCTCCGTGGAGTCCAAGATTGGTTGAAGCAGTTATATTCGGATGCATACCCATTATAATAGCAGATGACATTGTGTTACCATTTGCTGATGCAATTCCATGGGAAGATATCGGATTGTTTGTAGCAGAGAAGGATGTTCCATATTTGGATAACATTCTCACTTCTATTCAACCACAAGAAATATTGAGGAAGCAGAGATTGCTTGCCAATCCTGCAATGAAGAAGGCAATGTTATTTCTACAACCTGCTCAACCAGGTGATGCTTTCCACCAAATCTTGAATGGACTCGCTCGTAAATTACCTCATCACAAGAACATATATGGCGACAACATCTTATTAAACTGGACTGCTGGTCCAGTTGGTGATCTAAAACCTTGGTAGGATCGAACTACATCGGAATAGGTGTTGCATTCATTGTTTAGTCTCAACCTCCAACTTTTCTTCTTGATGAATTTCATCACAAGAGCAGATTTTAATTATAGGGCTTCTACTAGTTATACATAGAGACCTTTCTATTGGAAAAGTAGTGTTGTTGGGATTCTCTTCTCGAATCAAGAGTCGAGAAAAACTGGTAAAGAACGACGAACAAGAGATTTGATGATTTTTTTTTATTTAGATAAATTTTCTAGTCTCATCAGTATTATGGTCTATGCCCTGCCTTAGTTTGTTTAACTAATTTTATCTATTACTGTCTTACTCGTGTGTTCTGACTTGTTCTCATTATAGTAGTATATACTTTGTTTTCGAGTATGCATTTCCCATTTGGCTGCAAGAACAAGGTGTTTTACTTTACTTGGAGATATCTTTTTCTTTCTTCTTTGAGACTCAGAAGCTAGTTCTTTTTCCCAGTTTATCATTATTAAAATTCATCACATGAAAGACAAATGGATTATCCATCTTAACCAACGGTTAGGTAAAATGTAGCAAAAATAATATAAATTAAAATGAATAATTATATATGAACTTGTATGAAATGAATCAAGGATATTAACTTCGAAGTAAGAAATTCAGGTTTACACAGATGTAATAGCAGTAAAAGAAGTAAAAAACCTAGTACTAATATTAATGTAAAAGACACTATACGAAAGGAGTCAAGATGCTCACTTGTTGAATAAAAACTTGTCATAATTAGAAGGAAGAGAGCGGCCCCCAACTACCCTGAAAGGAAAGATGTTTATTTCAACAAACCTAATCTCTCTACATATGGATTTGGGTTTTATTAGTGAATAATCAAGGCTGAAAAAACTCAAAACTAGCCACAACATGATAAAGAAGAAATAAATCACGTAACAAAAATTAATAATGGATGATAAATCAAAAATCATATAAAAGACATTGACGTTGACAGATGGAAACACGATGCGTTTTACAATATCCATTAGCCATTCACACAATCTCAATCCATAGAAGTAAAGGAATAAACACAGAAATCAATTGTAGAATACCATAAGTAATCAGCTAATACAATATTACATCTGGTATAAGCTTCTGTCTTCCCAACTGCTTAATTCAGCTTATGAAACTCCTTAAAATCTGTAAAGAAATAAATAAATTAGTAGGCTGCAACCTCGTAATTAATGAATTAAACAAAACTATAAACATTCAAGAAAATGCTTAACTTTATGGCACAACTGATACTATTTGACTAATTTGTTTTGAGATAATACTGCTTAATTATTGTTCATCTATCATCACGTATATTCAGTTATCTACAAGGGGTGGACTATGAGGATGGAAATTAGCATTTCAACTTCCAACCATTAATGCTCTGCCTTGAATTTGTTATATGAAGCTAAATAATTTGTGATGTAGTCATTAAATTATCTGCTTGGCATTCACTTTCCATATATTGGAACTAATGGTAACTCCTAGCAATTTGAGTACCTCAAGATTTGAAAGTGGTGTGACTTCATTAAGATGTATGCGGAAATTGAACAGTGTCAATTTCTTCAGCTCTAATGGGAGCTTCAACTGATTAACCCAAGTAAATGTAGGACCGGAAGAAATCTTGAGCATCACTAGCTCGGTAAGCTTGTTAAATGCAGGAAATGAGCCATCAAATTTCAAAACTTCACATTTCAGTTCTCGAAGATTTAGTGTCATTTCCAAAATCTTATTAGCATTATCCACACAAGAAAAATATGCCGAGGAAAGAGTTTGCAGATCATCCAATTTGGAGGGGTTTTCTAAGAATTCGAGTCCACCATCCAAAAGGAAAGATGCTTTGTGATATATATGTAGATGTCAAAACTTAACTGTTGCGGAAGATCGTGGGTTAACTAGCACACAATTACACACAAAGCAAATAAAGAAGAAAAATCAACAAAAAGATTTAACGAGGTTTGGCTAAGCCTAATCCTCGGGACAGAAGTAGAGAGAGTTTTCCACTATGAATGAGAAGAAAAATACTAATACAATCCATAAAATCCTCAACTACAACCCCTATATATAGATCTCAAATAGTCCTAAATCTATAAGAGAAAGGTTTCCCAATTTGACAAGGATAATAGATTTTCCTTTCCCAAATCTATTAGGACAATGAGTTTTCCTAAACCTATAGGGATTATGGATTTCCTAAAAATACAAGAAAATAATTCAAGTCACAAAATAACAAATCTTCCCCTTGGCTTGAATTCTCTTCATCAACAGGAACGTCTATCTACCTTGCCATCGGCCCTCGCAAGGGCTCTACCCATTGCCGCACACATCAACCAAGTCTAGGCAACACCTAAACTTGTTAAGAGACTCAATCTCTTTAGCCATAGCACTAATCCGTCGATTTGGTTATGTACTCGGAATAGTTTCTGGATAGCTATAACACTCAAATGCATCAACTGTCTCTGCAACTGCCAAAGCAAATCCCAAAGTATTTGTATATCCAAGAAGATTCCCATCAACTACGTTTGCAAATCTTTGCGGTCGGTTGATCACTCTCTTACCTCTGCCTGTTGCAATGCTATATGGTTGTTGTTGCACATGTGCATTAATATTATCATCTTGATCAATATTTTGCTCCTCCTCTACTTCCTCTCCTTTAGAACTACTAGGCTGAGCTAGTGGAGATTCAATTTCTAGCTTTATGCGGTCACTAACACCACAATCTGTTTCTGCTATAGCCTTCTCCCTCTGACTATCCAGTGAGGCAGATTTATTGAATGTTACATCCCTACTGATAATTAACCCTGTAGTTTTTTGATCTATGCACCACAACCTATAACCTTTCATTCTAGTTGCATACCCTAGAAATATGCACTTCTTTGCTCTCGACTCAAGTTTTTCATCCCTCACATAAGCATAGGCAGGACACCAAATATCCTTAAATTTGAATAAGGCAAACTGGACCATACCTCAAAAGGAGTTTTGAACTCAGTAGCTGTGGATGGAGATCTGTTGACCAAATAACAAGTTGTATTGATTGCTTCAACCCAAAAATCCTTGCTAACACATGAGTGTGAAAGCACGCTTCGTGCCCTATCACAAAACGTTCTGTTCACACATTCTGCAATACCATTTTGTTGTGGTGTTCCCACACAAGTGCGGTATCTCACTATGCCCTCTCTGCTGCAGAAATATCGAACTCAGAATTGCAAAATTCTAACCCATTATCAGTTCGAAGACACTTAACTTTTCTTTCCGCCTACCTCTTAACCATCGTTTTCCATTTAACAAATGCCGAAAATGCCTCATCTTTTGTTTTTAGAAAATACACCAACACCATCCTTGAGTAATCATCAATTAAAGTCATAAAATACCTGGCACAACTCTTGGAGGGAACTCTGTTTGGACCCCGCAAGTCTGAATGTATATAATCGAACTTGTCTCTGGTTTTGTGCTCGGCCTTCTTGCTGAACTTTACCCTTGTCTGTTTACCACACACATAATGCTTACAAAAATTCAAAACTGGATTTGTTTACTCATTCAACATATTCTGCTTACTCAACAAAGACAGCCCCTTATCACTCATTTGACCAAGTCGCAAGCGCCATAACTAAGACTGATTCAGATCACTTTTTCCAGAAGCTACATCAGCTTCCCCTTTAATAACACTGGACTGAAGATGATACAATTTAGAAGGCAGTTTAACCTTCATGAGTACCATGGAGCCTTTACACACTTTAAATATTCTATTCTCGGAGTGAAATTTATACCCTTGATCATCCAAAGTCGAAAGAGAAATCAAATTTCTTTTTATCCAAGGAACATGCCAACACCCAATGTTTCTGATAATTCCATCGAACATTTTCAATTTGATGTTACCAACCCCCTTTACTAGTAATGGATTATCATCTCCCGTGTAGACAATCTCACTCATTTGCTTGTAAGTTGCAAACCAATTCTTTTGTGGACATATATGGAAAGTAGCACCAGAATTAAGAACCCAAGAATTCTTCCCATGACTAGAACTCACATCACAGACTTCCCTTACATAGTCACTATCATCAAAATTATTGCAGTGTCAACAATATTTGCCAAATTATCTATTTTTTGCTTCCCTCTTTTCTCCTTCAACTTAGGACAATCTCTCTTATAGTGACCATGCTCCCCGCACTCATAACCGTTTTGCTTTCTTGCTCTAAGCTTTGATCTGGAAGTTGACTTTTTCCTGTTAAAGTCCTTTTGTTGTGTTCTTCCTCTAATCATAAGACCCTCGCCCTCAATTCTACTGTCTGGAAAGGTTTTAGTGCATTACTAACATCTTCCAGTGAAATGTTGTCTTTCTCATATAGAAGCGTATCGACAAAAGTATCATAAGCCGGTGGTAAATAACATAACACAATCAAGGCCTGATCCTCACTCTCAATTTTGATATCCATGTTCTTCAGGTCCATTATAATTGAATTAAACTCATCAATGTGAGTTTTAACAGGTGTACCTTCATTCATACGGAGAATGTATAAGCTCTTTTTCAAGTAGAGGCGATTTGTTAGCGATTTCTTAGAATACAGATCTTTCGACTTCTTCCATGCCATTGATGCAGAAGTTTCTTCACAAATTTCCCGAATAACACTATCTGTACCACTCATGAAGATCGTACTCAAAGCCTTCTCCTTCAGGTCAGCCTTCTCTGTCTCTTTCATCTCTTCAAGAAAATCCTCATCAATTGCCTTCCATAACCCTTATAACACCGGTGACTATTTTACCATAATCTTCCATAGACTGAAGATAGAACCCTCGTCAACTTTCTCTACTTCGTACTTTGTTGAAGATGACGAAAATATCTTAATCCTAGATTATATGTAGAAACCCGAACCTTGCTCTGATACCAATTGTTGCGGAAGATCATGGATTAACTAGCACACAATCACACACAAAACAAATAGAGAAGAAAAATCAACACAATAATTTAATGAGGTTCAGCTAAACCTAATCCTCGGGGCAGAAACAGAGAGAGTTTTTCACTATGAATGAGAAGAAAATCACAATACAATCTATAAAATCATCAACTACAACCCTTATATTTAGATCCCAAATAGTCCCAAACCTATAAGAGAAAGGTTTCCCAATTTGACAAGGATAATAAGTTTTTCTTTCCCAAATCTATTAGGACAATGGGTTTTTCTAAACCTATAGAGATTATGGATTTCCTAAAAATACAAGGAAATAATTCAAGCCACAAAATAACATTAACCATCTCCCAAATGGTATCTAATACTAATACTTGTACTCTAATTCCTTGAACTATCAGGGTTTAAAGGTTTCGAAGATTGGTTGGGAGTGAGAATGTATCTTGGCCAGTCCGAAAAGCAAGATACTTTAAAAGGGTTAATTCTTGAGGAAAAGAATCAATTATTGTGAATTCAATATCTAACACCCTAAAAAATTTGAACCTTTTAAAAGTGTATAATGCACAGTCTATTGAAGAGAATGCATTTTTTCTAGACTCCCTATATTGAAGAGATTTCAAATTGGAGAAAGAAAAACACCATGTTGCAAGATTACTGCAGCGGACATAGAGGGATATGCGACATTGAGACTTGCACTTTGGAGGGAAAATATGAATTGGACATGCACTGCTATCCCTGTTAGTGAAGAGATTGAAACAATCAAAATAAGTTCAAAGAGAACTGATTTAAGAAAAACATTAAATTTGATTACCCGTTTATCCTTTCTAAAAAGTTCTTCCACTTGGCATTTGTCCTACAAAATTCAAGCAACATGTCATGAATGCGACTTGCCTTGATCTTACCATCAGAACTCTTTTTGGTAACCATCACTATGTTTCTCTCAACAAAATTCTCCAGGTAGTCTTTCACTGTATCCTCCAAAAGCTTCTCTGTGCTAGTTTTCACAAAATTTTCAGAGATCCACAACCATGTTAATTTTGAGACTTGAATCTCTCTATCCTCCGAAAATGCTCCAAAATATAAAAAGCAAGTTCTCAAATGATGTGGCAAATTTTGATAACTAAGATCTATGGTGTGCTCAGTTTGAGCCTGTATATGTGGACCTAAATTTGTTGCCAGTTGTTCCCAACAATGTCTTTCCTTCTCCATCCTTACAAGAATACCTGCTACTAGAACAATTGAAAGAGGTATCCCTCCACAGTTTTGTGCAATGTTTTTGCCAATATCCTCTAAAACCAGGGGCAGCTTAATTTATTGAACACCTTATTCTATAATAACATCCAACTTTCTTCATTAGACAGCTATCGAAGAACAAGAGGATCACTATCATGTTTAGCATAAGAGGCAACATCATAATGTCGAGTCGTAAGAATAATTCTACTTCCGTTATTAGTATCGGGGAAGCATAACTTTAAATCCTCCCATGCGCTAGTTTCCCAAATATCATCAATAGAAGGTATCTCGTGCCCAACAAATGTTTGCGAAGCTTATATGGCTATATATCATCAGCCTCTTTATCAAGTTTAGATGTGTCGTCAATTATATCGCCTAGAAGGGCTAATAACAAGTCCCTTAGTGTATATACTTGAGACACACAACATTGGGCACGTATATCAAAATGAGAGACAATTGATTGATCAAAGTATAGTTTGTTTGCCAGAGTTGTCTTTCCCACTCCAGGCATGCCAACAATTGAGATGATATCAAGGTTTGAAGATCCTTCGGATAATTTACCTTTTAGTTCATCCATCACATCCATAAGGCCCACCATTTCTTCGTTCATGTTGGGACTCCTAGCAAATTGTGAAGAAGTATATCCACTGGCAACATCTTTGGTATTACGCAATACTAATTCGGATGCATTTATTTCATGAATCTCCTCTACCTCTGAGATGAGTAGTTTACCATTTTCAACAATGTGTAGGATCTAGAGGGAAACACACGAGTCTCGAATATCTTTTCCTATAGAAGTATCAGACATATATTTTACCTCAAGTGCCAAACTAGTTAGTCGTGTTGCACACTGGCAAAGTCCATCATGTTGTTCTACATCAGCTTGGAAGCTCTTGATTTCCTTCGGAATTGTCTGAAATCGATTCTCGACAGAAGCAATTGAATTTGAATAGTTTCATAGGAGAACCATCAGGTTGTGTACAATAAAATCAGCAGTCCAGTTCATAAATTCCAGGTAAGTTGAACTAATGGAGAAATTTCCTTCTAGTTGTGAGGTAGATCATTGCTTGCATTCTCTGAATTTTTTCTGGCAAATCAGGAACTGGTACTTGGTTCGTTTCCCCAAAAGACGTGTCTCCCTTATTCTTCTCCTCCTCATTTGATGAGTAAACCATCCTGCTTCAATAATCACAGTGTCTATATCTTGAAGATGAGACTGAGGGGCCAGTACTCGTAGATTGATGAGATTGGCTCTCAAGAAGTTGAGCATCTCCCGAAGGGTTAGCCTTGTAGCTTTGTAATTAAAAGAAATTGGTAGCTCTTCCAAATTGCGTAGGAGAGTCTCCATAAATCCAACTTCACGATCTACGACATACTTAAATTGGAGAACGGGATACCATTGCGACTGTACTATCTTTAGACCTTGCAGGACATCAGTATAGATCTTGCAGATGTATGGCCTAATGGGATTAATTTCGTATTCCAGGAGCTGAGAAAATAAAGGATACTTTTCACCTGGAGCCAAATCTGGCTCTTGGTACTTATTGCTTGGAAGATACAACCAGGTAGACATTGTTGTTTGCCAGGCCACTTTTAAAGCATGAGTTAAGAAAGTTTGTTGGACGTGAGGCTTTATGCATCCGTCTGAAACAAAGCAGACAAAACTTTTAAGGAACTTCAACTCCTTTAGAGCCTTCTCAATTTGACCCATGAGGTCCCCAATACAAAGCAGTGAGCTTGGATCATTAAATTTCAGCAAATCACAGAGATTGGAAGCAACAATGTCAATGAATTCCATTACAAAACTGGGATTAACAATACCATCCGTGTTGGATAAAACTGGAAATGGTATTCCAGGTGTTCTGATATCCGACTTAGTCTACTGAAACTTATCTTGCAAGTCAGATATATAGCCATGAAAATGCTGACTCCATGGTCTTTCTTGACCCGAGATCTGGATGAGACTAGCTGCAGCACCTCGAAACAGAGATTGGATTTTCTTTATATCAAGTTCATCTTTGGAGACCTGCAAATTGAGAATAATATCCAGGAACTTGAAATCCCTTTTAAGGAACTTCAATCCATCCACTGAAGACAGATACTTTTCTGAAAGAAAACTGGATAAACCCCATTCCTTTTTAATCCACTGCATAGTCTCAAGGGGGTCAGATTCCTTTGAGGACAGCATATACTTTTCTGAAAATAGTAGGAGTGAACCGCATTCCTCTCCAACCTGCCGTACAGTTTCAAGGAAATTAGATAACTTTGATCGTAATTCGTTCAAATACATATCGAATGAATCCAATCCCTCTTCAATATGCTGCAGAATATGGAGGGAATCAGATTCACGTGAAAAAAGAGTTTTATATAAGAACATATGGAATGAACTGTATTCCTCTTCAATCCGCTGCAGAGTTTCACGAAGATGAGATAATTTTGACAGATACTCTTCTGAAAACATTCAACTTGATACAACAAAGATTGTTTTCACTTTTTTCGTTCTTTCTTATTTCTTAACGGTAACTTACAGACACTTCCGTTGTACCACCTCTTCACCGCCGCATACACCGCCGGCGAGCCCAGATAAGAACCCTAATCTCTTTTTTCTTGTCTTTCTCTTCCTTTTCTCCCGCTTCCTCTATCTTCCTCTCTCTCCCCCCCCCCATTGGTCAG